TGCTCCTCAGCACTTGAAACAGTTCCTTCGCAGTTGACTTTCCCAATGCTACACGTCGTCTAATGTCCTGACTGCTGCTTCCGTTGGCATCGAATAAATGTCTATAGACCCAGTGAAAGAGCACCCCCCCCAAAGTACATAAATCAGACCTCAAAAAGGATTGAAAAGGCAAATAGATGACTCCACAGTCATAGTGGGTGTTCTGGTTACCTAGTGTCACTCTGACAGGAATATACCACAAATGAAATGGCCTTAACAAACAGGAGTTTATTCTTACAATTTGGAGGCTTTAAGTCCAAGTTCAAGTGACAGGCTTTAGGGGGCTGGGTAAAAGCCCCTCAACCTTGGGGTCCAGCTTTGCCTCCTGCTCCTGGCCCACTGGAGCTAGAGGCGTTTCTTCACTCAGACAGCTGCTAGCTGCTAAGGCTGAAAAACCCAAGGTTGACAAGTAAAAAGGCACAGTCCCAATGTTACCAAACCACACGAAAGGGCATTAATTCAAGTCCATTGTAAGTCCCAAGGTCGGCAGTGCATGGCAGGCTGCTCAACAAAGACATGGCTACATGCAGGGTCCAAGCATGCCATAAGCTAGAAACCATTCCCAATGCTTCTCCTTATATACAGGAAGCAGACCATATCCCAAAGGCAGCTACTCAGCTGCTTGTGGTAAATTCCACCATGGAGTTGATGGCCAGTCTCATCATAGGGGAATAACTACCACCAGCTGCCCAGCCACTCAACCAGGCCCAGCCAAGTTGACACACAACATAACCACCACAGTGGGAGACTTTAATACATCACTTTCAATGAAAGATAGAACAACTGGAAAGAAACTCAACAGACATAGAAGAACTAAACAGTACAATCCACCAACTTGACCTTATAGACATCTACAGAGAACTTCACCCAACAACAGCCTAGTATACATTTTCCAGTGCACATGGAACATTCTCCAGGATAGACCATATGTTAGGCCATAAAGCAAGTCTTCATAAATTTAAAAACATTAAAATACTGCAAAACATCATCTCAGATCACAATGCTATAAAATTAGGAATCAAAAATAGGAAGATCAACAGAAAAAGAGAAAACACATGGAAACTGAATAACACCCTCCTTGAAAATGACTGGGTAATAGAAGAAATAATAATAATAAAAAAAAATCCTTGAACCAAACAAGAATGAAAACACAACATACCAAAACCTTTAGGACACAGCAAAAGCAATGATCACATGACAATAAATAATAAATAGCAATAAATGCACACATCAAAAAAGAAGAGCCAAAATAAACATCTTAATCTAACATCTCCAACAATTAGAAAAAGAGCAGCAAAAACAAAAACTGCAGTCACCATAAGAAAATAAATAATAAAGATTCAAGCAGAAATTGATGAAACAGAAAATAGAAAGACAATAGAAAATATTGACAAGACTAGAAGGTGCTTTTCTGAAAAGATTAATAAAATTGACAAACCACTGGCAAATTTTACAAAGGAAAAGAGGGAGAGAATACAAAAAACACAAATAAGAAATGAATTGGTCAACATCACAACAGAACCAACAGAAATTAAAAGGATAATATCAGGATACTATGAAGAACTATACTCCAACAAATTTGAAACTCTAGAAGAAATGAACAGATTTTTACAAACATATTACTTACCTAAACTAACACAGACCGAGATGGAAAATTTGAACAGACCCATAACAAAAGAAAAAATTGAACAGGTCATAAAAAAATTACCAACAAAAAAGTCCTACCCCAGATGGTTTCACTGGAGAATTCTACCGAATGTTCAGAGAAGAACTGATACCAATCCTATTCAAACTACTCCAGAACATAGAAAAGGATGGAATCTCCCCAAATTCATTCTACGAAGCAAGCATAACCTTGATACTGAAACCAGGCAAAGATATCACTAAAAAGGAAAACTACAGGCTAATATCCCTCATGAATATAGAGACAAAAATCTTCAACAAAAATCTTAGCCAATAGACTGCAACAACATATCTAGAAAATAATTCATTATGACCAAGTGGGGTTCATATCAGGTATGCAAGGATGGTTCAACAGTAGAATAACAATCATTGTCATCCACCACATAAATAAAACAAAGGAAAAGAACCACATGATCATATCAATCGATGCAGAAAAGGCATTTGATAAAATCCAACACTCATTCCTGATCAAAACTCTTAGCATAATAGGAATAGAATAATAAAGGGCATCTATGCAAAACCAACAGCCAACATTATTCTCAATGGAGAGACTGAAACCATTTCCCTTGCAAACAGAAACCACACAAGGATGACCTCTGTCACCACTTCTATTCAACATTGTATTGGAAGTCCTAGCCAGGGCAATAAGGCAAGAAAGGGAAATCAAAGGCATCCAAATTGGTAAGGAAGAAGTAAAACTATCTCTATTTGCTGATGATATGATCCTATACAAAGAAAACCCAAGAGACTCAGCAAAAAAACTACTGGAACTAATTGAGAGATTTAGCATCGTGGCAGGATACAAGGTCAACATAGAAAAATCAGTTGGATTCCTCTACATCAGCAAAAAGATTGCTGAAAAGGAAATAAGGAAATCAATGCCACTTACAATAGCTATCAAAAAACTAAAATACTTGGGAATAAATCTTACCAGGGACATAAAAAACCTGTACAAAGAAAACTATAAAGGATTACTTCAAGAAACCATAAGAGATCTACATAAATGGAAGAACATACCATGCTTGTGGATAGGAAGATTGAACATTGTGAGAATGTCAATTCTACCCAAAGCCATCTATACATTCAATGCAATCCCAATCCAGATCCCATCAGCATTCTTTAATGGAAAAAACAATCACTAACTTTATATGGAAAGGAAAGAGACCTCGCATAAGCAAAGCACTATTGAAGAAGAAGAACAAAGTAGGAGGTCTCACACTGCCAGATCTCAAAACCTATTACTATACAACCACAGTAGTCAAAACTGCCTGGTATTAGTTTAATGACAGATGCATAAACCAATGGAATAATAGAATTGAGAACCCAGAAATAGATCCATCGACCTATAGTCAGCTGATCTTTGACAAAGGGCCAAAATCCATTAAATGGGAGAGAGAATGTTTGTTTAATAAATGGTGCCGGCAAAACTGGATACCCATTTGCAGGAAAACAAAACAAGATCTGTACCTCACACCATACACAAAAACTAACTCCAGATGGATCAAAGACTTAAAGGTGAAACTTAAAACTCTAGAGTTCCTCAAGGAAAAACTAGGGGCATTTTAGGGGCACTAATTTATGACATAAATAGACTATCAAGCATAACCCAAAATGCACAAACAGCAGAAGATAAACTAGATGAATGGGACCTTCCAAAAATTTAATTTTTATGTGCTTCCAAAGACTTCTTCAAAAGAGTCAAAAGAGAACCTATAGAATGGGGAAAAAATTTCAGCAATGACATATCTAACAAGTGACTTATCTCTAAAATTTATAGAAAACTCCAACATTTCAGCAACAAAAAGACAAACAATCCAATTAAGAAATGGGCAGAAGACATGAATAGACACTTCACCAAAGGGGATATTCAGGTGGCTAACAAACACTGAAGAAATGTTCACGATCATTAGCCATTAAAGAGATGCAAATCGAAACAACAACGAGATACCATCTCATCCCAACACTAACAGCAAATTTCAACAAGACAGAAAATAACAAATGGTAGCAAGGATGTGGAGAGATTGGGACTCTCATACACTGCTAGTGGGACTATAAAATGATACATCCACTGTGGAAAGCAGTATGATGATTCCTTAAAAAGTTGGAATTAGAAATACCATTTGATCCAGCAATGCCATTAGTAGGTATATATCCTAAAGAAGTGAGAACCAGGACAAGAACAGATATATGCACACCCACGTTCATCACAGCACTATTTACAATAGCAAAAAGATGGAAACAACTTAGGTGCCAGTCAACAGAAGAATAGATAAGCAAACTATGGTACATGCACACAGTGGAATATTGTGCAACCCTAAAGAATAATGTAGAATCTGCAAAACACTGTGTAACATGGATAAACTTGGAGGACATTATTCTGAGTGAAATAAGTCAGTCACAGAAGGATGAATATAGTATTAGTTCTTTATTGTAAAAAGTTAAGGAAAGTTTTATATATGAAAGGAAACTTTCTTTTTTGGTTACCAGGAGTGGGCGAGGAGAGGAGTGAACACTGCAAAAAATAAATAAAATAAATTTTTAAAAATCAATGGTGTAAGGACTTATTGTCACCATTGTGCAGATGTGGAAATGGTGGCTTTGAGAAGTCATTTCCCCAAAGATCATATAGTTTGTGAGTGATGGAGAACTTATATTATTTACAATTTCTTAGCTACTCTGCTTTCAGAAGTAGAGGGTTATTGAAATCTTTCTACTGAAATCTCTGCTTTTAGATCTAGGCTCCTCATAATGTGATACTCACCTTCCACACAGTTGGTGGAGAAGAAGCAGATGTTTCGGGTCTCCAGTGGGTTCTCATGGGTGAATTCAGGGGAACGGGTTTGGGGCTCTGACTCTCCAGTCAAGGATGAGTTGTCTACCTGGGATGGGAGGTTAAGATGTGTCATGAAGTGAAAATGAGGGAAAAAAAAGGCATATTCATTTATAAAGATAATACATCTTTGACTCCCACCATCAACATCATTGACATACAGAGAGAAACTGAAGCCTACTCACCAGTACTTCATTTTCTCTAACCTCAAATTTGCACTTGTAACTTTTCAAGGCTCTGAATGATCAGGTCATGCTTCCTGTCACTGATCCCAGGTCCCTACAGTGTCCTAAGTCCATCCTTGGCTCCCTCCCACAGCTGTCCACAGCCCCTCACCTTACATCCTTGTGCAGAGATAAGTCGTATATCAGCCGGAATTCGATCTCCTCCCTTTACTTCTACCAGGTCTCCCAACACCACGTCTTGTACATTGATCTGTATCTTCTCTCCTCCTCGAATTACCAGGGCTTGCTATGGGAAGATAGTGCAGGACAATCTCCAAATGACCATTTCAGCTTCTATCCTACAACCTCCTGTTCCTGGTCTCCTTCCTTCTAACTCCCCTTTATTACTGTCACCCATCACATCATCCTTGAAGATCTCTTTGGTAGATTGAAAGTTCCTACCATGACTGTTCGCAGGGCCTTCTGCATTGTGGTTTTGATGTTCCTATCATTAAGAGGTAGAGTCTACCTCTCCACCCCTTGAATCAGGGCTTGGCAATATGGCTTGCTTTGTTGTTGTTGTTGTTATGTGCTGTCGAGTCAGAACTGACTCATAGCGACCCCTCCTTGGGTTTCCGAGACAGTATCACTACAGAAGTAGATTGCCCCATCTTCCTTCCGAGGAGTGGCTGATGGGTTTGAACTGCCAGCCTTCTGGTTAGCAGTCAAATAGTGCCTTAGGCACCATGCTACCAGAGCTCCCATGGCTTGCTTTAGCCCATGGGCTATCAATAAATGTGATGCAGTAGAACATTGAGGCTTGCCCTCTTGTTGCTGGGAAACCTTTGCCTCCATAAGAACAAAACTGAGCCATCCTCCTGAAAGAAGAGGAATCGTGAAGAGAAAGACCTCAGCTATCCTAGTCATCCCAACTGAGGCCTCAAACATGAGAGCGAGCTAGTCTTAGACCATTTAGCCCTAAACTATGCCAGCCCAGACCAAGAGATCAGCCCAGCCAACCTACAGAATTCTGAGAAATAATGCATTTGTTATTTCAAGCCACTAAGTTTTGGGATGGTTTGTTAGGAAGCAAAAGCTAACTGATACAGTTTCCAAGCTCTTACTTAGTCCATTCTACCAAAACACTTTCCTTTGAACTATTACCCAGGGAAAAAATTAGGTTATGTCAACACTGAAGGAAGAGGAAAATCCTGGGGTATAATGTTAGAATCTGATCATGTTGTTGAGAAACTATGGAGCTTGCTCCTTTCCAACTTTACAGCCAAGTGCCTAGGAATTCCTGTCTACTGATATATTATTTCCAGGTACTTTGAAAACATTGGAAAATAATTTTCAATGTTCATAAAAGTTGCAAGAATAAAAATAGTATCTTACAATAGCAAAAAGATGGAAACAACATACATGCCCATCAACAGAAGAATGGATAACAAAACTATGGTACATACACACAATGGAATACTGTACAACACTAAAGAATAATGTAGAATCTGCAAAACACCACATAACACGGATGAACTTGGAGGATATTATGCTGAGTGCAATAAGTCAATCACAGAAGGACAAATTTAGTATTAGTTCATTATTGTAAAAAGTCAAGGAAAAGTTTATATATAGAAGGAAACTTTCTTTGTTAGTTACCAGGGGTGGGAGAGGAGGGAAGGAAACACTGCAAAAAAGAAAAAAAAATATATATATTGACCCATGTCACTTTAGTTATACATATTTCACTGTATATATTATATTTATATTTTATATATTTCAATAAAATATATATTTTTTTAAAAAAATAATTAAAATAGTACCAAGAACATTTGTATGACCTTCACCTAGATTTACCTATTAGCATTTTATCCCATTTGCTTTATCATTTGTTCTCTTTCACGCACACACACACTCCTGTGTGTGCTTTCTTATTTTCTGAACCATTTAAGGGTAAGTTACATATATCATGGGCTTTCACTTTAAATTCTGTAGTGTGCATTTCCCAAGAATTAGGCTATTTTCTTACATAACCACAATATAGTTTTCACTTTGGAGAATTTCACATTGATCCAATACCTTTTACCAAATCTGCTATCTGTATTCTAGTTTTGTCAGTTGACCCAATAATATCCTTTACAGAATTTTCTCCTCCTCCAGCACAGGATCCCCCCTAAAGCCAGGTACTGCATTTAGTTGTCATGTCTCTTTAGCCTGCTTTAATCTGGAACATTTACACAGCTGTTGCCTTTTATGTCATTGACATTTTAAAGAATCCAGCTCCTTACTTCCCCTGCCTTTTTTTAAAAATACTTTTTTTGTGTGTGATTTGGGTGAAAGTTTACAGAACAAATTAATTTTCCATTCAACAATTTATACAGATTTTATTTTATGACATGAATTGCAATTCTCATTTCCTCCCTAGGTCCCCCCTTTCCATTGTTCCATCTTTCCTGGCCCTTCCTGTCTTCTGAACTTTATTTTTGGACAAATGTTGCTGTTTTGGTCTCTTATGGTTGATTGTTCTAGGAAGCACATTCTTCATGGATATTATCGTTGACTCTATAGACTTAGCTAATGTTTGGCTGAAAGGTGATCTCTGGGGGGAGTGTGCAGTTCCAGGTTTCATGGATGTCTAAGGCCCATGCCTTTTTTTTTTTTTTCCCAATAGAATTATTCTCATCTGATATTTCTTTTTTGATTGGATCCAGGTTATGTTTTCTAGGCCAGACTACTCCATAAATTGTGTTGTGTCCTTTTCAGGTTATCACAGCCTTTCCCCAGATACTTCTGAGGCCACTGACAGAGAAACCTAAATGAACCTCATCCTCATCACTAGCCTCATTCAGCTCACTCATCATAGGACATAATTCTCCAGGAAACCTAACAATTTTGTGTTTTGACACATTCTCTACCTCCTTTCACTAGATCCTCCCATACCAGTCCTACCTGTGGCACCATGTTCTTAAAAGACTCCATGATCTTGGAGCTCTTGGCCTCCTGATAGTAGGAGAAGCAGCCAGTGATGATGACCACGATGCTGAGTACCATGCCCAGGTACAGCTGGAGGTGGGGAAAGGGAGGATTTATCAGTAGGGAGTTTTCTTCTTTTCTATCCTCAGAAAATCAGCTTTCAAGTAATAGCAGGTTTTCTAAGCAGAAAAATACCGTAAGAATCAGTTGGAGAAGAGTCTGAGATGGGGCTGGCATTCTCAACTTCCTGGTGAAGGAACCCTGAGATATAGTGAGGGGTCAGCAAAATTTCAGATCAGAGAGGGCCTGTATCTTCCTTTTCATGGTAGGGAAGGGAGACATGGTAAGGGAAGTGGGAGGAAGGAAATGAAGAGGTTAAAATTCTAGGGAAGGTAGAAAGGGACTGCCAAGTGGTTTGATGATCAGTTGAGAAGATATTGAAAGGGGACAAGTTTTTTTGCCAACAACACATCCTGTGGTGCTGAACAAATAGCTTTCTAGATTAATCAACTCCCCCCCCCCCAAAAAAAAACCACCTCACTGCCATCAAGTCGATTCTGACTCATAGCGACCCCCTTTGGGTTTCTGAGGCAGTAAATCTTTAGGGAAGTAGATTGCCCAGTCTTCCTTCCACAGAGTAGCTGATGGGTTTGAACTAACAGCCTTCTGGTTAGCAGTCAAATGCCTTAGGCACTACATCACCAGATCTTCTTCTAGATAAAAGGCTAGGGAAACCAGGATGAGCTAAGGGCTCCCTCAGAAAATCCTGGGAGTATCAGGGTTTCGGGCCAGAGGACTTAAGGATTGCTAGGGTGCTGAGCAGAGGAGTATCAGAGGCTGAGTAGGGGTTGGTCTGAGCAGGGCAGGAGTAGTTGAAAGACTCACATTATCTTTGGTAAACTCTTCATGGAAACTGAACTGGATGCCATAGGCGACAAAGCAGAGAATGGAACCAATCCACAGTAGGATGGAGAAGCCACCAAACAGTTGTTTACAGAATTTGATCCATTCTGGAATGGTGGGGGGTGGAGTAAGTGTATTAGGTCCCTCTTGCTCTAGGATTTTCTGTGCCTGATCATGAGTAAGACCCTATATGGAAGAGAAATAGGGATGGATAGAGAGCTGTGAAAAGTGAAGCAGTTGTAGCAAAAGGCAATCTAGTTTCAGATCCCAGGTCTGCCATTTATAGATCAAAGAAGCTCTCTGAAGGTCTGAGAGTCCTTCCTAGATAGGATGTTTGTTGTTGTTATGTGCCATCGAGTCAGATCTGACTCATAGTGACCCCTCCTTAGGTTTCCGAGGCAGTATCTATACGGAAGTAGATTGCCCAACCTTCCTTCCAAGGAGTGGCTGGTGGATTTGAACTGCCAGCCTTCTGGTTAACAGTCAAGTGCCTTAGGCACTATGTTATCAGAGCTCCCCTAGACAGGATAGGATTTTAAAATTTATGGAGGTGATATCATTACAGACGGGATATCATTTAGATTGCTAACATAATAAAGGTCTTTTATTTACAGATTAATTTATATTTTAACACTTATCTTGGGCCTAGAAGGTGCTGAGAATACCAAAATGAATAAGAATGGTCTCTACCCTTTGTTGTTAGCTGTAATCAAGTCAATTCCATCTCATGGTGACGTCATGTGTGCAGAGTAGAATTGCTACGTAAGTTTTTCTTGGCTGTAACTTTACTGGAAGCAAATCACAGGCCTTTTCTTCTGAGATACTGCTGGGTAAGTTCAAACTGCCAATATTTCTTTCTTTTTTTTCTTTAAATTTTTATTGTGATTTGGGTGAAAGTTTACAGAGCAAATTCATTTTCAGCAGTTGATACATAGTTTGTTTCATGACATTGATTACAATCCCCACAATGTAATAGCTCTCTTCCCAATTCCTCCCCAGAGTTACCTTTTCCCTGTGTTCTTCCCTCCCATGCTCTCCTGCCCCCCAAGCTGTCTCCCTGTATAATCACTGACCTTCTGTTGTCCATGATTGATGGACTGATTGCTCCAAAGACTGTATTTATGTGATGTAAATGTTCACCCTTTGTACCTGTCTGTTGTTTGGCTGAAAGCCACAAGAGTGAGTTCAGTTCCAGGCCTGAAAGGTAACTAGGGGCCATACATAGTCTTGGGGGTCTCACCAGGCTCTATCACATCAGTAAACCTGGTCTTTTTTTATGATGTTGAGTTTTGTTCCACATTGCTCTCCCACTCTATCCAGGATCTGCACTCATTCCTTTCTGAATGGTTCTGTGGTAGCGGGGCACCATCTAATTCTTCTGGTCTCATGGTCATACAGGCTGAGATCTCATGGTCTACTAGTCCCTTGGACTAATTGTTTCCATGTGCCTTTGGTTTTCTTCCTTTTTCTTTGCTCTAGATGAGAAGAGACTCATTGTTGCATCTAGATGGCTGCTTGCAAGTTTTAAAACTCCAGTCATTACTCCCCAAAGTAGGATGTAGGACAATGTTTTTGTGTAGTATGTTACACCAATTGAGCTTGATGTCTCTGCGACCATGGTCCCGAGCCCACAGGTCCAACTATTCACTCTTTCACGGTGGTTGGTTGTGGCCAAGAAGTTATTATAACTTTGCCCCTTGTTAGCTCTATTATATATTTGGACATTCTTATAGCACATACAAATACATATGTAGAAACTCTGTCTGCCAATCTGATATGTGGTCATGAATATATTCCCTTTTGCCTAGACATACCTCATCCTTCAGCCTGTCTACCCATCTATTTACACATAGATTAATGTCCGTTATCACTGACAACACAGTATTGTGTATGTAAAAGGGTTTGTCTTTGTTGGCTGTATCTCTTGTGTACCTCTTTGTGTCTTTCTCTTCCTCGGTACCACAATGCTGACCACTCACTTTTGGTACATTGACCTTCCCTTCACCCAAATCAACACTTGTCTCTACCTATCTAGCAGTGTTCCCTTCCTTCCCTCCCTTCTCTGGTAACCAATAAAGAAAGCTTCCTTCCAGATATAAACTTTTCCTTGACCTTTTAAAATAGTGAAAAAATATAATATTTGTCCTTCTGTGATGGACTTATTTCACTCAGGATAATGTCCTCCAAGTTCATCCATATTATGTGGTGTTTTGCAGATTCTACGTGATTCTTTAGTGTTGCATAGTATTCCATTGTGTGTATGTACCACAGTTTGCTAATCCATTCTTCTGTTGATGAGCACTTAGGTTGTTTCCATCTCTTTGCTATTGTGAAGTGCTGTAGTGAACATGGCTGTGCTCATATCTGTCAAACCACTAATCTTTATAGTTTGCGCTTGACTACTAACCTAGAGGTTGGTGATTTGAACTCATCCAGTGGTTCTGTGGAAGAAAGTCCTGATGATTTGCTTGCATTAATAGCACAGCCAAGAAAACCCTATGGACCACAGTTCTGTAACACATGGGGTCACTATGAGTCAGAACAACTCAATGGCAATTGGTCTCTACCCTTAAGGAGTTCAAACTCTAATGAGGAGATAAATATGTACAAATGATTATAATATGATGCACAAGGGCAAGATAATGATAAAGTACTATACTTAATGTTGATAACATATTGACATTCAACTTTGGCTCTCTTTTTTGTTTAGAAGTAGGAACAAACCCCACTCAAGACATGAATGCATAGATTCTCACTCTAGTCTTGTATGCAAGTTTATGTACTGTTTTCCTATATGAAAATGATAATAGAACCTATGAGAGTGCAGTAAAACAAACTCAGTATCAGTCACTCTCTACCCTTAAAAAGCATACAACTTTAATAAAAACATGACAAGTCCTCTATGCTTCTCTCAGCTAACAATCAGATGGTGACCCTAAGCCTCTCCAAAGCACAAATTTTAGAGCTAAGAGGAATTCACATTTTGAGGGTTTTTATTTAAGTTTTTTGGTTTTAGTCGTTGGATACTGCCTCGGAAACCCAAGGAGGGGTCGCTATGAGTCACACCCAGCTCAACAACAGCACGTTTGATTTGTTTTTTATTAGTGTATAGTAGCAGCAACCACAGTAGTAATAGTGGTGAGGTTTTACCATTAAACCAGTGGTTCCCAAAGTTCAGTCTATACAATTGTGGTAGTTATGTTTGTGTGTCAACTTGGCTGAGCCTGGTTGAGTGTCTGGGCAGCTGGTGGTATTCCCCATGATGAGACTGACAGTCATCTCCATGGTGGGATCTACCACAACCAGCTGAGTAGCTGCCTTTGGGATATGGTCTGCTTCCTGTATATAAGGAGAAGCCTTGGGAATGGTCTCTAGCCTATGGCATGCTCGGACCCTGCATGTAGCGTGTCGTTACTCAGCAGCCTGCTATGCTCTGCTGACCTTGGGACTTACAATGGACTTAAGTTAATGGCCTGCCATGTAGTTTGGTAACATCGGGACTGTGCCTTTTTACTTGTCAACCTTGGGCCTTCTCAGCCTCAGAAGCCAGCAGCTGTCTGAGTAAAGAAACTCCTCTAGCTCCAGTGGGCCGGGAGCAGGAGGCAGAGCTGGACCCCAAGGTTGAGGGGCTTTCACCCAGCCTCTAGAGCCTGGCACTTGAACTTCTACTTAAAGCCTCCAAATTATAAGAATAAACTCCTGTTTGTTAAGGCCATTCCATTTGAGGTATATTCTTGTCAGAGCAGCACTAGGTAACCAGAACAACAGTCAAACAATTTTCATAATAATATTAAGACATTATTTGCCTTTTTCACTCTCATTCTGTTAAGAATGTACGGTAGTATTTTCCAAAAGCTACATGACACATGATATCACAACTGAGTGAGTGTGGAAAGGTATGAAAGTCCAGCTATCTTCTATTTAAAAGCTAGACATCAAGGAGGTTTGCAAAAATGTAAAATAATGTCAATAATATTTTTTGTTTTGAAAAATATAGTTATTTGTCATAAAAACTTTACTTTTATTAACATATAGTGGGCTTACTCTGTTATTTTTAAATGACTCAGTAAATATATTTTAAGTTTCTCAATTTTAATTTCTAACATGGTAAATATAGGTAGATGTAACCCACATAAGCAAATGTTCTTGGAGGTCCTCAATAATTTATAAAAATGCAAAGGGGTCCTGAGTACAAAATGTTTGAGAATCACTTCATTAAACTGTTCTTATTCTCTTGCCTAGTACTGGACTCTTTGGGAGTAGTTTACATTAAAATCTTTTTCCAGGCATATGTCCTATGGAAGTTGGTCCTGGGAGAGGTTAAGAGGCAAGAAGATTGGGCTCAAGTGAAGGAATTTGATTTGTAGCTCTGTTTTTGCCCTGATAGCCTCAGCTTCAGAGTAAGGGACCCTCTGCCTCCCTCAGGGAGTTCCTTCACTCACCTTTCTCAAGTCCACTGAATATTTGGCACTCAGCTCTTGCAAGGTTAATTTGTGATCATCCTGAGGAGACAGAGTCATTAAGGGAGAGGAGGTGAAGCCAGGTCATTTGCAGGGGGAGAAACATACTGAGGAAGAGGGATGGCTCTAGCCTGTGCAATTAATTCTCAAGGTAATATTAAAATGGTTGAGGGAGAGAGTTTTTAGGGGACAATTTTTCACACCCATTTTGGATGCTCTCACCATGACCACTTCTTTCTTTAGCTCTTCTATATCTCTTGTCTCTTTTCTCGTCTTCATCTTTGTTTTCGTATTAGGTCTTGGGTTTGTATTCTGCTCACCAGGATTGCCTGCTCCTTGTTTTGTATCCTGAGACCCCATAATTTTCTCTGGATATAACTGATCCTGCTCAACAGATGGGCAGAAAGCAAAGAGAGTGAGGGAAATGAAAGGATGGATGAGATGAGGGAGTGAAAGGTGGGTGGAAAGAGAAAGTGAGAAAAATGGTGGAGTGAAGGAGTAAAGAGATGAGGGGAATGGGACAGAGTAAAGAAGTGGTGGGGAGAGAAAGAGGGAGCAGAAAGAAAGTGGGAGAGATGTGAAAGGGAAAGAAAAGTGAGTGAGGAGAGGACTGAGAGAAAAAGAGAGAGAAGTCTAAAGGCCAGAGGTGAGAGAGAGTGGAGAGAGAAGTACGATGAAGCAGAAAAAGGTACGAGGAGGAAAATTCTGTAATGACAGTGTCTAGAGATGAGAAGAGGGTGAGGAGAAAGTGAAAGAGAAGGTAAAAGAATGAACAGAAGGAGTTGAGAAAATGAAGAGTAAGGGCCTCTAGAAACAGGAGATGGAGGCTAACTAGGTGTCTAAGATGCCACAGAGTGCACAAAAGTTGGGAAAAGCAATGAGAGTGAGGAGGCCAGAGTTGGCTTCAGGGAACCACTGGGAGCTCCCCACCCCAGGCCTGTGGGTGCCGTGGCAACGGTCTAGGTCTGTCAGTCATCATAATAAAGGTCTCACAGAAATTCTAACAGGAATCCCTGAAGTTTCAGTCTTTGGGTTTGAGGTTGACTGGAGCAGATTCTGCCATAGACAATTTCAGTCTGAGATCAAAACTAGAACAAAATCCCAACTTAATTCTGCAGGTATCTGAGGCTTAGGGGTAGCTGCTTCACAGAGTAGGTATTCTTTGTGTAAGCAAGGTTTGAGCGAGGCATACTTCCCCACCAACACTTGAGTTTTATCTCTTAATTTGAAGAGATCATATAGCAGAAGCATCAGATCTTGGGCTTTGGGATCAGTCCTGGCTTTGAATCCTGACTCCTCTGCTTACCAGCCATGTAACTTTGAGCAAGTTCCCTCACCTCTCTAGGCCTGTCTTTCCTTGGTGATAAAGGGAGATACCATCTTGAAAGGTGACAAGCGTGAGGATTAAAATGAGAAACTCTCTGCAAAGCATTATGTCTGGCACACATAAATTGTGCTCAATAAATGGCTTGAATAAAGTGTAATCAATTTTGTTTGTAAAGTGCACTGGTGGTACAATGGTTAAATGGCTGGTTGCTAACCAAAAGATCAGTGGTTCAAACCTATCATGTGCTCCATGGGAGAAACATGTGGTAGTCTGCTCCCCTAAAGACTTGCAGCCTTGGAAACCCTGTGGGGTAGTTCTACTTTGTCCTATAGTGTCGCTATCAGTTAGAATCAATTAGGTGGCAATGGGTTTGGGTTTTTCAGCAGTTTTGCTTGTGGATAATGCCATTTTAAAGTTGGCTTAATGTGCAGTTCTACTCGAGAGTAAAAATATGCTTTTCCATGTGATAAATGTATTTCCTCATTTAAAAATAATACAGTCATCTCTTACTTTCACCTTTACTGACATCTTTGTAAGTTATTTGACAGAATAACTTTATATGTTTTCTGTGTACTATAATTTATGCTCCACCTTCTTCTAAAGAAGTTATAGATTTCTATCATTTATGAAAGTTTTAAAGAATACTTGTCACATACACTTACCCCATTCTTTTGTTTTGATATTTATTTAATTGCATTTTAGTTGTACTTTCTTTTTGGAAAAAAAAAAAAAACTGTATATTGTTGCTTAGATCATTTGTTTTAGAAGGATCAGCACAAGGCTGGTCCCTGTGAGGTGGAGGTTAAAGATATCCCAAATGTCCAACTTTTCCAAACTACTGCCCACTCCATCATCTCTGACATCAACTCCTCCACCCCTCACTACTCTCCCTACCATTTTAGGGTTCCATGTTTCACTGCAATGTCTCACAGAACTCACAACCTCCCAAGGAAATGGCTCATGTAGTGGCGGTGGAGGTTGGCAGGCTGGCAGGCTGGCAAGTCGGCAAGTCCCAAGTCTGTGGGTAGGTCTGGAAGATTCTCCCATGGCACTTGGTTGCAATGGTTGGTGAGCCCAAATGGGCAGGTCAGATGACATCTGCTATCTCAAGTCCAGGGATGAAATGATGATAAACCAAACTCAGAACCGGAGCAAGAAAGAGAACTTTCCTAGAACATTCACATATATATCCTCAAGGAAGCCAAGGGTGGTGATTTGAATCACACCCTCCAGGAAGGCAGGACTCTAGATACATCCCACCCTAAACAGGCATAAACCAAAACCAAAAACCGATCTCACTGCCATTGAATCAATTCTGACTCATAACGACCCTCTTTGGGTTTCTGAGGTGGTAAATCTTTACGGAAGCAGATTGCCTAGTCTTCCTTCTGCAGAATGGCTGGTGGGTTTGAACAGCCAGCCTTCTGGTTAGGAGAGACTAGGATTTGCAATGCATCACATAATGGAGGGCAATGGCTAGAAGGGCCGTATTAAGCAATTCACTGCACTGCAATTGCATATCTGCAAACCCCCACTTGGTCTTGCCGTGATCCTTCTTTGATATTCAGAAATAGAGATTTTCCTTCCCCAGCTGAGATAAATGATAGTCCATTTCTTTAAGGAGCCCTGGTCGCACAGTGGTTAAGTACTTGACTGCCAACTGAAAGGTTGGTGGTTGGAACCCACCAGCTGCCCATGGAAGAAAAGACCTGGTCATCTGCTCCTGTAAAGATTGCAGCCTAGGAAACCCTATGGGGGCAGTTCTACTCTGTCTCTTCGGGTCACTATGAGTTGGAATCCACTTGACAGAGCACAAGAATATTTCTTTAATAGATTGGATTTTTATTCTTTACTAAAAGTGTATAAAACGAGAACTGAAAGTCTTACTCTTCCTTCTTCCAACATTATTAGCCTATCCACTGCTGAATTTATTGCTGTAAACAGTGTGTTGCAGTGTGTCTTTCTTATCTTTCTTTCTATTTTTATATAAATAGATACCTAAAAGGAGATCTCTTTTCAATTTTGTAATACAACCATCCAACTCTCTTCTTTCATTTATCAGTATGTCTTGTTCACTGTTTTAGAGGCCGCCTGGCACTCCATATTCTGTACTGAACATGATCTACTCAATCATTCCCACTATTAATGGGTTTATGGGATATTTTCTATTTGTTTTTTAACCGTTAAAAACATTGCTGCAGTGACATCCTTGCATATAGGCATCTTTAGGCCACTGTGCTTCTATTTCTGTAGAATCAATTCCTGATGCTGAATCATAGGGTACTCTCATTTAAAATTTTAAAAGATTCTGTTAGATTGCTCTGCAAAAGGGCTCTACCTATCCATCACCCAGCCACAGGATACAAGAATGTCCACTGTCCACACCTCTGAGGATACTAAATGACCTTGATCTTGTACATTTTTGCCAGTAGGATAGGTGAAATTTAGTACTTTCAATCTGCATTTTTTATTATAGAGGTGAGCCTTTTTCTTATGTTTATTTGCTTTCTAAATTTTTTTTGTGTGTGTGAATTGTCAATTCTTAGCATTTGCCTAACTTCTGTTATTTTCTTGTTCTTAGTGATATATAGAAGTCCCTTATAATATGCATTGCAAATATTTTCTCCCAGTCTTTGTGTTTAATGTAGATCATAAAATCTTTATAAGTAAAGTCAGAATTAGGTGAAAACTGCCAAGCTCATCTCTGCATCATCTATGGGTCACTTAACCCAGCTTCAAAAGCAAATTTACTGAGATATAATTAATTGAATTTAATTTTGGAAACCCCATTCTGTTCCACAAGTCTTAACTCAAAAGTCCACTTTTCAGGTGAACTTTTAATTGCCAGATCCAAAGCAGGCCCTCCCACAAGCCCCCTCTATGACATCACTAGATTGGGCAATCTACCTCCATAGAGATACCACCTCAGAAACCCAAGGAGGGTTCACTATGAGTCGGGACTGACTCAAAGGCAGTGAGTTTGGTCTATGGTTTTGAGACTATCTTGCCCATTTATGTATTGACTTGTTATTTGTCTGTTTCTCCCTAAGGATAGGTATGGACCTTGCTACCTTATTCTTTGCTCTATATCGAGCACAGAGCAGGTGGACTCTACGTACATGACATAAACAGTTCTTGAATACATGTTGAATGAATCGTGAATTTTCGGGTTTTATTTCAATGTTGTAAGGTTTTGATAATCATTACTTTGGCCAGATGTGTTTCAAAAGGTATTTAGAATTATTAATGCTATCTGCTGTGTATTTTGCTTTGGGAAGAATGTAAAATATATGGTCACTTTGATAAAATGTGAAAAAAAATATGTTAGGGTTAATATACTAGCATTACAGTTATCCATTTGTTTCTCAGTTATTTACAAGGAGCTCTGATGATCTTGCCTGGGTAATCTTGCAGCTGACTGTCAAGATCAACATGTCATATTTTATAGAAAAATGTGTATAGTGAGAATTTTAATGGATATTGTATTTAATCTTTATGGTAACTTATTTTTATCTTTACCACTCTCTGCCTTCCAAAGCAGGAGTCATGTTTTCCTCTCCATGTATTCATGTTTTTCTTTATTTCTCTCATTGTACTTTTACATTTTCTTTAAAGAAAATGTCACATACTAAATTTTTTTTCCCCTTTCCTTTTTAGCCCCCTGGCCCCTTTCCTGTTTTTTTTTTTAATTGTGATTTGGCTGAAGGTTTACAGAGCAAATTCACTTTCCATACAGCAGTTCACATATACTTTGTCTCATGACATTGACCACAGTTTACCACAATGCAATAGCTCCCCTCCCACTTCCTCCCAGCAGCTACCTCTTCCCTGTGTCCATCCCTCCATGCACTCCTGCCCCCTGAGCTGTCTCCCTGTGCATAAGCAGCCCTTCTTTCTACATACTAAATCTTAATGTAATTTGTTTTATTTCTATTGTAAATAGATGCTCTTTGTATTGTACTTTCTATCTTACTAATATTTAGGGGTACACTTGATTTTAAAATACTGATTTTTTTTTTTTAAGTCCTGCAGC